GCCTGGTGCCTGGCTCAGTGGTGCACAGCCGGCTTTATGTGGGGAGTTCTGGCTCAGTGGGTGTGCGGCGTGGTGTCCTTTGGATTATTTTTGTGTGTTTGCTTTTTAAATGTTTGAATGCAGAAGCTTTAGAATGACTTGGCTCATTGCGAAAATGAAATTGGCAGTAACATTGTTTAACAAGTTTGGGAGACTTTCAAAGCTCTTCATATTGGTATTTCAGTTATTCAAAGCGTAGCTGGGTAACGTTTCCACCTATCAGGCATTGCGCATACGTTAATTTTGGAAATAAGCTCATTTTAAGATATTGTTTTCAATGCAGCCAAGTTCCTGTTTTCTTACAGAAAAGCATGATGAAAGTCCCAAAGCATTCCATGAGATATAAATGGACTTGGCATATAGTTATTTTCTTGTGATCTCCTATCCAAGTTCCTGTTAGATTTAAAAAGGGTTTTGATCACAGATAGTTGTGTGCTGTTTACCTGCATATCTCAAGAAGCCGCTTACTCTACGGCAGTTTGGTTAAAATTCAGGTCAATCTTTATCAAGCATTTTGCAGAATATATTTTTAGCAAGTCAGTCCTTGAACTCAAAATGTTCAACTGATGGCTATTGCAGTATAGTATTTGTTGGCATCAGTTTGTGAAAACTTCAGTAGTTGGTGGAGAATCCGCTACTAGTATCTGATTTTTTCCTCTGCTTGAAAAACTATTGTGTAGATACAGTATTAGTCCACTGGTGGTGATGCCGTGACAAATAAAGAGTGTAAATAGGTCAGCTTTTTAAAGCATGCCTGCAATTGCTCTGCCTTTGGGTTGGGTTGTACAAAAAATGGCCCTTGGTCCTATGCAAAACAGTGGGGAGATTCACCAGCCCAAACAAAGAACATACTGAGTGTAACTTCACATCGAGAGAAGGACCAGGAGGTAGACATGAATGTTATATCAGAAGGTCAAGTGTGTTACTAGCTGGCTCTGTTCATTGGTTTTTGTGAATGTAAGAGTTAAAATACAATATTGTCCTTTTACACTGTGGAACGCTCAGTAGTTTAAATGTCGCATTCATTGTCTTAATTGTCCACAGTGACTCTGTGGTACTTGCTTAATTTTTCCTTTGGAAATATTAGAGTGAACCCCTTTTACGAGCCGTGGTGCTGCACACAAAGTACTGCTGTTGGCTGACTGTCGATAAAAGTGGCCGTGCTGCGTCAGTGAGGCATGCGGCTGGATGCTGCGCTCCTCTGCGCTGCCTGGGAGCGGTGGCCGCAGCAGCGCACCTTTACTCTCGCTGTCCCAGAGGAACGTTCACTGGTTCAAGGGTCGTTCGTTAGGGTCGCGATCTCTGGGGCTCTATTTCCTGGGTTATTTTTCTGCTTGCGTGCCCGTCTGTGTTGGGGTGCTGGGACGGGCGCAGGACAAGGAGCAGCAGAAGAGACCCCTTCAGTGTGGGGCTCTGCGTAACACGTAGGAGCGAGCAGGTGGCTCACGCGTGGGTTTGGCAGCGCCGATAGCTGTGGTTCGCAGGTATTTGCAGGTGAATGCAGGTTTTCATTCGTGCATTTCATTGCTGCTGTCTGCCAGTTACTTCCTAGTACCTGTGGATCGTGTATTTCCCAGCCTTGTCCACTTTTCCCTCCTAGAGAAAGCCCTCCCCTTGCTCAGTTCGCAGCCTTCCGGGCACAGCTCATGCCCATCCCAGGTGCTGAAAATGGGAAACAGGAGCTGGTCCTAAACCACAGTGAAGAGAAGTTTGATATCATTTCCAACTTTCTTCATTCCCATTACTAGGAGTAACTGCTTCTACCACATTCAGTGAGTGCTGTTGCTTAGCTGGCAAAATTATTCTCCTTACAGTTTTACAGACAACAACAACCTATTTAAGGTTGAAATTTTAAAAATTACATGACTTCAAAATCCCTTTTTCAAAGACGTCTCAATTACTAGGACTTACACACGTATGTGTAAATATATATTAACTGCTTCTACCACATTGAGTGAGTGCTGTTGCTTAGCTGGCAAAATTTTTCTCCTTACAGTTTTACAGACAACAACAACCTATTTAAGGTTGAAATTTTAAAAATTACATGACTTCAAAATCCCTTTTTCAAAGACGTCTCAAGCTCTTAGGAACATAACTTCATGGAATCAACTGTTTCTGTGTGCTCTTGAAGGGTGAGGGAGGTAGGCTTCTGAATTTCTAAGTCCCTTTTTCTTCAAGCTTCACGTGAAGACCTGTTTGTGACTCTGGTTTCTAAAACTACAACATGGATCTAGATGGAAGTGATACAAAGGAATGTTCTGTTTTCAAAAGTGTTAGGTTATTAAAGCATAATTAATTGATTATCATCTATTTTAGTAGTAATTTTAATCCAATTATATGAGGGTTTTTTATTTTAATCTTTGGAATTCATTAATGAAAACTTACAGCGTTGCTTGTAGCCATGAAAAATTAGATCGAGTACACCCTGCCCTAGTTAAACTGTGTATTAGCAAAGCTACTTTTTCCTCAAGAAATATTCATTTTCACAGCTGACTATGACTTTCCAAATGCTTAGGAAAAAGCCCTCCCTAATTGATAACCAAAATTTAATCATCGTCGGATACTTCCAGTTTGCATTCAAATAAGGTATTGCTCTGTCTAAATAAGCTTCCCTTGGTTGATTATTCATATTGTAGTTCAAAATGTTTAAAAATGAAAGACAGAGTTGGATGAAATGTAGACTACTTAATACAGTGTGTATTTAATATAAAAGTCATGCATTATTCATTTTTGCAATTTGAATAACTTTGAATTTAGCATCCCTGTTCTTCATCTTTTCCTTTGATGAACAATTAATTATTAAAATATAATATTGTCAGCATATGGCACAAAAATCCTTGAAAGTGTAAAATGAGCTTCGTTCTCCTGCCATCCTTTGATAAAGGGATACTCCATATTCTCGCTTTCTCACAGAATGTTTATCCAGCATCTTAAGTGATTCCATCATTCTAAATAAAAGGTTATAAAAGTTAAAAATAGCTAAACCGTTAATTTTAACTGAAGCATTTTTTTTTTTTCGTAAATGCAAGAGGAAAGCTTTTCAAATAGTGCCTTTGTCTCCCATTTATTTCATGTACAGTCGTGGGCTGTGAAAGAGGATGTTTGCATGTTCGGGTGCTCTCAGATCCATAGTGGTCTGCTGTGTGCTCAGCTTCCCTGTAGAGAGAGAGTGCTTCTCAGACGGGGAGCCCGTGTCTCGCTGCGAAGATGCTTCTGTGCTGCATTTGGAAATCAGATCCTGGGACTGAGTTTGCAGGTTTCTAACCAATTTTGCCTGCATAAAAATAAGCCAATCAAATTAAATACGACCTTTTGCTGTGATTAGGACTTCTTGATTAGAATCTCTCTAAACTCGGGCAAATCATATGTATTTTACTATTTATTATCCAAGCACACTTTTTTCCCAGAGGTATGTGATGAAGGGGAAAAAAACATGGTTTATTATTTGTTTCCTTTTTGGAGATGCTGGAGGGGTTGATGTCTGCTTGGATTAGAAGGAAAGAAATTGTTAATGAAGAGATTGCAGGATTCTGTTTCAATGAGTACTTTGACTTGAAGAGAATTACTCATATTTTGGAAGCTAAAGGCTGTGAAAGCATTGCACCGCTGTTGATACTGCGCAGAAGGTGTCTCAAGTGCATCATGTATTGGCACCTTGCAGCAGCAGTGGAGGAAAAAAATTCCCTCTGATTATCAAGACTGCTGCTCCAGCGGTGTGGGTGACTTGCTTTGATCAAGACTAGAAAAGTGTGGGATGCTGTGGAAGTGAGTTCTGCAGACTTCATCCTTTTACTTCTCCTGCCACCTTGGGAAGGTTGTGTGTCAGCCTCCAGCCTCCCTGCTTCTCTGCTCGGCCGCAGGGCGACAGGGCTGGCTTAGCAGCTCTGCTGAGGCAGGAGAGTTCCTGCTACCCACACGTGGACTCGTGTTTGAGGCAGGAAGAATATAGGAAGCGAGGGATAGAGATGTATGGGAGAGCCTCGTGTGTCAGCTTGCCCTGAGGCAGCGAACACCTTTGCACAGGCTGAGCGGGAGCCTCGGACTGCGAGTCAACATAAATTGCAGAGGATAAATGCTCGGGGATGGCAGGGAAATTGTCTTGCCCGCAGCTGTTCCCTCCTTTCATTTATTTATTTTTATTCACAGTGTTAAATATTACCAGCTTGTCACTGTTACTTGAAGCTAAATGCTTTCAAGTGCTCAGGTTTGCATTTCAGGTTGTCCAAGGAGCTTCTCAGAGGAGTTTGTCCCCAGGCTGTTGGACCCTGGAAAGGAGTTTCTTGGATTAGGGAGAAAAGGCAGCAGTTGTAACTCTGGAACATATTTTTGGTGCTGTGCTGACTGCGTCGGGCAGCCCCCCAGGCACTGCCTCGGGGGGCAGGCAGTCCCAAAGCCCCACCTGCCAGTTCCCAGAGACGTTTGGCTGAGCTGTGTGGCTCTGCCTCCTCCGTCTCGGCAACCCAAAGGGGTCTGACCTCTCTCCTGCACCCCTTTTCCGTGCTGGCAGGGATGGGATGGGTATGCCACCCAGTGCTCTTCGCCTGGGCATCAGCAGGCAGGACCGCTGGGGCCTGGCTGTGTCCCCCCTGGGTCTTGGGGAACCCTCACTGCCATCAAGCTGAAACGCCATTTACTGGGTGCTGAGACCACCGAATACGGAGTTATTTCCATGCTGACGTAAACCAGTGGGATAACAAGGGCATTTCACACCTGCACACTTTTCAGAATAGGAGCGTGCGGGTTCCGTATAGGATTGACTAGCATTTTGGCTGCTCTTTTATTAATCAACACATCAACTCACACAGAGCCTTCCTGATAGGCTGCTTTCCTCTTTCGTTATATATACGAGATAAAATACGGTGTTGCCATTACACCTTGTTAGGCTGCCTATCAATGTGATGTCTGTTTTAAAAGACACGTTAAAAAAAAAGTGTAATTCTGCTTGTCAATCTTCCCTGCAGAGAAGGAGACCTTCCTGGATCCCTTTGTGCTGAGGGAGCTGCTGCCGGCATCGCTGGGGAGTTACTACCGCTACGCAGGTTCTCTGACCACCCCTCCCTGTAGCGAGATCGTGGAGTGGATCGTTTTTCGGAAGCCCGTTCCCATTTCTTACCATCAGGTGTGTTTATTTTGTTGGTGGAGTCCATCTCTTGAGTCGCCCTCTTAAAGACGGTGTTTTCAAAACCTGCCATTTTAATTTTGAGCACAAAAATGTTTCTGTTGACAGAAAAGGAAACGTCGGTGATTTTTTTTTCTCTTAAGTAATATTGTTTCTGAACATGAGCCATCAGTCTTAGGAAGACAGTACATGAAACCCAGTTTCCTTTCAGTGATTTATTTGGTATTGTTTTGGCTAAGATTAAATTAAGCTATGGTATAAATATTACATGGAGTTCCTTTTTATTCTTTTTAATTGAAACCTTCTTTTCAAGGTAAAGTGAGTGATTTCAGTTCTGCTCAGATTTAGTAATTTGAACTAATTACATTAGAAAAGACATCTTTCCATTAATTCTCCATGCTTAACTGTTTTTATAACACAGTAAAGCTGCCATTATGTGCTCAGAGAGCTGCTGCACAAATCTTTAAAATTAGCACATAGCAGCTTTTAATGCAAAGAGACGCAGTGCCTGGGATTTGTCTGGAGAAGAATGCTCCCGATAGAGGAATGGCTAGATGGAGTCAGATGTTTACCCGTTAAGTGTATTTTGACATTGTAAGATTGTTGTCTTCAGAAAGCTGTCCTGCTGAAGTTAGTCTTCCCTTTTATTCATCTGGCGTAAGCTGCTGAAAACAAACTTTTTAAATCCACTAATTCTGTAAAGCGTAAGTGAATGGTTCACTGGGTGATCCTGACTGATGGGCGCTGGGTCTCAAATACTCAGAAGGGTGGAAGGCTATCACCATGCCCCTGCTCCAGACATTTTTTTCACATTTTCTAGCTCCTGTTGCTTCTCCCGTAGGCTCTTTCACCCGGTTCTGAAGTACCGGTCGCAGCAGTTCAGCTGGGGCCCTCCCGAGGCTGAGGGACACGGCAGGATTCATGGGTCTGCCCGCCCATGCTGGTGTCATTTTGTCTTTTTCCCAAACACAGGACATTATTGCCCATCTTCAGCCCCAGGGCAGCAGGAACCCCTTTGCAGAGGTTTCCCCGGCGCGTGCTGCAGCAGCGCTGGGCGCATCGTGTGTGCGTGCAGGCCGCGGCACTGGCCGGAGCGTGAGGCTCTGCACATGGTCCCGGTTGAATCGGACCCTTTGTTTTTTTTCAGGCTATTTCTCTGATTGTCGAGATCATTTTGAATTCTGTCCTTGCCTGCAGGATACTTGCAATCCCTTGTAGCTTTTCACTGCATCAATAAGTTTACTGTTTATTATTTGGTGGCTGCGTTGCCTGGCCCACGCTCAGTATTATACCCTCTGTGCTCATCAGGTGGGTCATGACTTCATTTCTTCTTTTTCTTTTTTTAACAAATGCAAATCAACTGTTAAATACCAATTATGGCCATCACTGTAATGGTACGAAGGTACTTTATCCTGGCGTAGCTTCTTTCCTGTGCTGTGCAGTAGTAACTGTGCCAAGTCGAGCCTTTAAAATTTGGCGTTGTGCTGCTTTATGCATGCATGTGTGGTTGAAGGGCTGGGAATTCTGTGTGTAGACAGACTTTCATTGATACTACAACACATGTGGAATAAATAATAGTATTCTTCCCCTTGGCAGCTCTGGATGGGTGTATTTTAAGAGCCTGCCACCCTGCCATTGCTATGATTATTATTTGTTCCTCTAACAGAAACAGTGCAACATAATCCATTGCCATAGTTTAACCTTCTTTATCACAAGCCCCGTGAAGCAGTCTGTAATCCCAGAGGAGGAAAGTGATATTGTTTAAGCTTCGTGGCTGTTCCAATTAAATCCTTGCTTTTTGTGCAAAATACCTTGCTGTAAAAAGGACAGCACTGAAGTGGTCCATTTGTGGAGGCTTCTCTGTTTTATTCTCAGTGCTCCATCATCGTCATCTTTCCCAATAATTAGACAACAAAACAGGACAAGCCGTGTCACCCTGCAGATGCATTGTAACGCTAAGTGCATTCAATGACCCAAAGCCTGGCATTATCTCTCGTAATGCATACCTCAGAGTATCTCATTGTGCTTGTAACTGTTTCAGTATTTTTAATTGCCGTTTGTATACCCAGCCCTTAGAAAACTGTGCGCATCAGGCTTTAATGGTTTGTAATTACATGACTCCCAGTTTTAGATCAGGTTTCCCTGTATCTACAATAGTCTTATAACAGCTTTTCACTTCTTCTGAACGGGAGCTCTTGTACTTCTTGAAGAGCATGAATATAGCTCCTTGAGTGCACCTCTTTTTTTTTTTTTTCCTGGCAGCTATAGATAAATTAATTTCTCATTTGTGGTAGATAATATTTTTATAGTTAAAATGAAGTTGAAATGACTTATGTGTACTTCAACACATAAAAAGGGGAAGGTTAAAAATCATATTTCAATTGGCAGTTGTTAAAATGCAATTATACCTCCCCAAGGTAGCATGGCAGAAGAAAATATTTTAAAAGTTCTCTCTGAAAGTTTAAAAATTCAATTAATGTCATGGAAGTATAAACCTAGAGACTTGACTTCAGAGGAGCAGTTGCTACCCGAGTTCCTCAGCTTTTATAAAGTAACCTTAAGCCCTGTTAGCTGGCTTCATCAAAGCTGCTTCCAGTGCACGAAGTGCAAAAGATGCGGAAACACTCACAAGAGTTTTGGTCTGAGCTTTCGTAGAAGGGCATAGCAGCAGCATCTGTTGGGGTTTTTTCTTGAGACAAAAGTGTAAGATAACAGTCCTGGTTTTTTAGCCCATCTGTCAAATGCTCCTGCTAATAATTAGGAAACGGTTTTCAAGATTTTCCAAGATGTGTCTCCAAAGAATCAGCAAGAGAATTGCAGTTGAGAACCAGGGAATAGGGCATTCATCTAAGACACAAAAAAATTACAGCCCAAATCCCGCCATCGGTGCCTGCAAGACTGGAAGCGGTACCTGAGCTCCCTACCTGGCTGCCACCCCTCCCTTCAGGTCACCTGCTCTTCCTCTGCCTCAGTTTCCCTGCTTGTAAAGTAAAAGTAGTTGTAATTAGGGGAAAGCTACTGCTAAAATTGTACAAGCCTGATGTGCACCGTTATCTTGGAGGTGGTTGCCTGTAGCGGGACTCAGTTCCCTTGGTTTTCTGTTTTAGTGCAGAGCTACCAAACTCAGGATTAGAGCTGCATGGGCCAGCCTTTCTCCCCCCGCTATCCATACGTTTCTCACAGTGATGATGTTCCTATAGGTGTCTCTAGTAGCCGGCTCAAGGCACCACCCACTCCAAGGGGACTTACCTTTGAAATAAAATCTCTAAAATCTGACTCTCTCCTGCCTGGGGGTGAGAGAAGTTTTACAGATTTCAAAGTGACCTGTCACAGAATCACAGAATGGTTTGGGCTGGAAAGGGCCTTAAAGCCCATCCACTTCCAACCCCCTGCCATGGGCAGGGACACCTTCCACTAGACCAGGTTGCTCCAAGCCCCATCCAGCCTGGCCTTGAAGACATCGTCATTAAACTATGAGTGTCATTCAAGTCCCTTTTTAATGTCTTGGGCCAGATTCTGTCCTCCCAGTATCCATATTATCAGTATATGTAATTGATGTTGGTGTAAACAATACCAAGACTGAATCCTTCTCTGCTCTGTCTTGCGCAGTCTTTCCAGCAACACCACAACTAATTCCAGTTCTTGACCTGAATGATAACAAGGTCTTAGTAAATGCTATGCTGACCTTGATAGCGGTGAGAAAAACATGAGCTGCAAGTATTTTCACCTTGGTTTGCTAGAAATTTCTTTTTAGGAATACTAAGGTGCAAAGTAACAGAGAAGTTTTCTGATTACAGTTCTTTCTTACAAGTTAATACATTTTATTAAATGTAGCTCAGATCTGAATCCAACAGTGGAAACTTATTCCCAAAGGAGTAAAAGCGAACTGTGCCTGAATACATTTAGCCTGTGTTATTTCTTCTCACCCTGTAGTTAGGTATCAGGTAACGGTGGTTGGTAGGGAGGTCAGAGCACATGGAGCTGGCAGTCCTGAGCTTGCCTCGCCGCTACCGACCTGCTCGCGGGCAAGCCAGCTTGTTGGTTTGGGTGTGCATCCCATAACGGTGTGACAGCTGCAGTGACCGTCCTGCTGCAGGAGCGCTTAGCCTGGCAGCCAGACTTTGTACGCTGAGGGTAGCGTTGCCCTGACCTGGAGAAGGCTCGTGGGGTGGAATGACCTGGAAGCCCTTTTTGACGCGATACTGTGAAACAAAACGGTGCCAGCGGTAGGGAGGGTTTGGCGTGGCTGTCACACACAAAACCCTTCCAGACAAGGGGTCTAAGGGCAAATGTTCCCTTGCCCATGACAGACGTCCATGGGTTGCTAGCAGGCCTTCTCCCTTGCTGGGCAGGATAAGCACTGTGCTGAGATAAGACGGTTGGCAGTGATTTCAGTGGGCAGTCTGACTTCCCACGTGGTTTATCAGTCCTGGCATCAGCATTTTACTTCCTGCCATTCTACTTTCTTATCAGCCACCCAGATTTCACCACACTGTTTTTCTAATTAACATCCTTTCTCTCCCCTGCCATGATGGCTGCGGTCAGCTGGAGGCGTTCTACTCCATATTCACCACCGAACAGCAAGACCACGTCAAGTCCGTGGAGTACCTGAGGAATAACTTCCGACCACAGCAAAGCCTGAACAACAGGAAGGTGTCGAAGTCTGCCGTGAAGGATGCTTGGAGCCAAGATATGACAGATACCTTGGAAAATCCGCTCGGCACAGAAGCTTCCAAAGGTAGGTTACACTTAGGAATTTTGTGCTTGACTAACAGGAGAATTTTTTTCGCCTACTTTGTCATCAGGCGGTGTGAAGGATAGCTGTGAGTTACCAAAGAAATAATACGGTGTACGCAGGCACTCCTTGTTGGTATGTATCAAGAGATTAACTACTCCTCTGTGTGCCTGCAGTTCCCTGTGAAACTCGCTGTCACAAGGTGCAGTGGCAGTAAAGCCCCAGAATATGTGAGTCTCAAGCTGTTGATGTCCCTGTTTCTGCCAACTGGCTGTAGGGCCTTAGAGATCCCTGACAAAAGGGAAACAGGAACGGACAAGGTCAGAGGTAAAATTTCAGCCCCATTAGCACCGACCCATTGGGTGTCGGAATGGGAATAGAGTATCCAGATGTGGTTACAGGCTTCATTTTTACAGTAACAAGACTGTTGAAGATCCTTTTAATTCAATGTTTGTATCAATCTGGTGGTGAAAGGGATAAAAAACCTCTTCCTTATATGCAGGTGATTTCTAATGTCTTGCTGAAGTGTTTCATGTGCCTTTTCATAGAGCAGCTGGCGCTTGCTTCTGTCAGACATTGGATAATGAGCTGGCTGGAGGGGGGTAGGAGGGAGGGTGCAGTCGTGTTGGCACAGACAGCCCTGGCTAGAGGAGCACATCAAAAATTCTGAGAGAAATGTGTACTGGATAAAAGAAGACTAGAAATAAATATCATTTACTACCTTTATTTGCCTTTATTTTATTGAATGGTGTTATTTATCGGATGGGGGAATGCCACGTACTTCCCAGTCCTCGGTCTTGAGAGGTTCTTGGTGCTTTAGCAGTTCTGGGTGGAGGTGAGGGAGAAGGGGGGGCAGTTTGCCAGAAGGAAGCAGCTAAGCAGATTTACAAGCTTCCCTTTCGTACCTGGCATTTCCACCTGGCCAGGCACAGAGCGCGTAGTTTTTCGAGGACGTGAATCATGAAAACAGCTGCGTTCAGCAACCTCCCCCTCCCAGGAGAGTGCTGAGAGTGCTTGAAGAGCGTACTTCTCAGGGCTCATTATTCGGTGAGCGTGCTTATTTTTATATATATAATATACACGCACACAAACCTCATGTACATTAAAGGCAGCCTTGGGACAGAGAATTTACATCAGAAGTAAGGAGGAGATCTTGGCAGTGAAGAAACCCTGCTACGCTCTGATACTCCGGCCTGCAGTTTTCAATCAGGGTTTTAACAGCAACATGTGTCAATATTTATTTCTTCAGTTATATCCTGCGTACACATTACTTACCCAGAACAGTGATGAAAGTTAATAGGTTACGTTATGTTAAAAGTGACAAAACTGACTAGTTTTCATTTTGAGTGCAGCCAGGGTACCTCTGGTACATGTGGTGTAATATTCAAGAGGATTTTACTGCTTTGGCCGCATGCCTGCATATTCCTCACCTTGCTGGATGCATTTTTTAAGATTATAAAAGTGCTTTTGGTGATTTTCACCCCCATAGTAAATAGCTGAAGCCCACAATTCTGACAGAGCATTACAAACGCAAAGGTCTGTAGTTAATGGGCTCACCTTGAAGTTGGAAGTGTGGATGCTGAAGGAGCACTTGAATAAGTGGAAAGATTCCCACTGACTTTGACCTTTAAGGACTCTAAGGCTCAGAGCCCTAGAACCATGGCCCTCCATCCACGGGCACATGGCTTAGTTAACTCTGCGTGAGCTAGCCCACTGGAGCAAGCGAGCCACACAAACGTTAGCCCACGTGTAGACAGCTTGGTGCTTGACACCTTACGTGCCTGGGGACTGGTTTCCTGAGCAGGTTCTCTCGGGGTCCTCTCCCATCGTGTCTGGTACACCAGTGCTCTGCACTCCTGCCTGCCTGGGAATTCGAGCTTATGGCATGCTCAGGAGAGACCCTCAGGCGGGAGGCATGCCTTCCTGCACTTCTC